TAGAAATTAAAGTAATTCCCGATGCAACAAGATCTGTGAGGAACTATTTAATAGGTTGTATTGAGGATTTTGTTTTGCTTTTAGATACCTATAGATGTTGCAAGTAATTTGTTTCAAACTTTTTAACTTTAATACTTTGAAAAAAAAACAGGTAGATTTCAATTATCCAACATCTAAAATGTAGGAATTTAATAAGTTTAACTAAAAAAAATCGCAAAAAGGGCAACGGCACGCGGTGTTCCCAAGCGGTCACTCATCCAAGTACTAACCGCGCCCAACACTGCTTAACTGCGGTGATCGGACGAGAACCGGTGTGTTCATTGTGGTATGGTCGTTGCCTATTAAATAAGTGAGTCTAGGTCCTGATAAAGTCCTAAAATACCTAGTTGCTAAATTATTTTCATCCCTGTTTACTTTCTACCCTCTTGAAAAACTAATTAGGTAGGTAGATAGGTACGTAGGTACTTTTCAATATTTCTAATTTGAACTTTTTGGCCTAGGACATGTTTAGATTGACGAAAAACGATGTTGGTACCTAGGTACCTAGCGTAGACACATCCTTAAATAGGTAGATATCTAAGCTAAGTAATTAAAAATTGTCACCCAAACGGATATATTGGCATATTTAGAAATTAAAGTAATTCCCGATGCAACAAGATCTGTGAGGAACTATTTAATAGGTTGTATTGAGGATTTTGTTTTGCTTTTAGATACCTATAGATGTTGCAAGTAATTTGTTTCAAACTTTTTAACTTTAATACTTTGAAAAAAAAACAGGTAGATTTCAATTATCCAACATCTAAAATGTAGGAATTTAATAAGTTTAACTAAAAAAAATCGCAAAAAGGGCAACGGCACGCGGTGTTCCCAAGCGGTCACCCATCCAAGTACTAACCGCGCCCAACACTGCTTAACTGCGGTGATCGGACGAGAACCGGTGTGTTCAGTGTGGTATGGTCGTTGCCTATTAAATAAGTGAGTCTAGGTCCTGATAACGTCCTAAAATACCTATAGTTGCTAAATTATTTTCATCTCTGTATACTTTCTACCCTCTTGAAAAACTAATTAGGTAGGTAGATAGGTACGTAGGTACTTTTCAATATTTCTAATTTGAACTTTTTGGCCTAGGACATGTTTAGATTGACGAAAAACGATGTTGGTACCTAGGTACCTAGCGTAGACACATCCTTAAATAGGTAGATATCTAAGCTAAGTAATTAAAAATTGTCACCCAAACGGATATATTGGCATATTTAGAAATTAAAGTAATTCCCGATGCAACAAGATCTGTGAGGAACTATTTAATAGGTTGTATTGAGGATTTTGTTTTGCTTTTAGATACCTATAGATGTTGCAAGTAATTTGTTTCAAACTTTTTAACTTTAATACTTTGAAAAAAAAACAGGTAGATTTCAATTATCCAACATCTAAAATGTAGGAATTTAATAAGTTTAACTAAAAAAAATCGCAAAAAGGGCAACGGCACGCGGTGTTCCCAAGCGGTCACCCATCCAAGTACTAACCGCGCCCAACACTGCTTAACTGCGGTGATCGGACGAGAACCGGTGTGTTCAGTGTGGTATGGTCGTTGCCTATTAAATAAGTGAGTCTAGGTCCTGATAACGTCCTAAAATACCTAGTTGCTAAATTATTTTCATCCCTGTTTACTTTCTACCCTCTTGAAAAACTAATTAGGTAGGTAGATAGGTACGTAGGTACTTTTCAATATTTCTAATTTGAACTTTTTGGCCTAGGACATGTTTAGATTGACGAAAAACGATGTTGGTACCTAGGTACCTAGCGTAGACACATCCTTAAATAGGTAGATATCTAAGCTAAGTAATTAAAAATTGTCACCCAAACGGATATATTGGCATATTTAGAAATTAAAGTAATTCCCGATGCAACAAGATCTGTGAGGAACTATTTAATAGGTTGTATTGAGGATTTTGTTTTGCTTTTAGATACCTATAGATGTTGCAAGTAATTTGTTTCAAACTTTTTAACTTTAATACTTTGAAAAAAAAACAGGTAGATTTCAATTATCCAACATCTAAAATGTAGGAATTTAATAAGTTTAACTAAAAAAAATCGCAAAAAGGGCAACGGCACGCGGTGTTCCCAAGCGGTCACCCATCCAAGTACTAACCGCGCCCAACACTGCTTAACTGCGGTGATCGGACGAGAACCGGTGTGTTCAGTGTGGTATGGTCGTTGCCTATTAAATAAGTGAGTCTAGGTCCTGATAACGTCCTAAAATACCTAGTTAGTAAATTATTTTCATCCCTGTTTACTTTCTACCCTCTTGAAAAACTAATTAGGTAGGTACTTTTCAGTATTTCTAATTTGAACTTTTTGGCCTAGGACATGTTTAGATTGACGAAAAACGATGTTGGTACCTAGGTACCTAGCGTAGACACATCCTTAAATAGGTAGATATCTAAGCTAAGTAATTAAAAATTGTCACCCAAACGGATATATTGGCATATTTAGAAATTAAAGTAATTCCCGATGCAACAAGATCTGTGAGGAACTATTTAATAGGTTGTATTGAGGATTTTGTTTTGCTTTTAGATACCTATAGATATTGCAAGTAATTTGTTTCAAACTTTTTAATTTTAATACTTTGAAAAAAAAAAACAGGTAGATTTCAATTATCTAACATCTAAAATGTAGGAATTTAATAAGTTTAACTAAAAAAAATCGCAAAAAGGGCAACGGCACGCGGTGTTCCCAAGCGGTCACCCATCCAAGTACTAACCGCGCCCAACACTGCTTAACTGCGGTGATCGGACGAGAACCGGTGTGTTCATTGTGGTATGGTCGTTGCCTATTAAATAAGTGAGTCTAGGTCCTGATAACGTCCTAAAATACCTAGTTGCTAAATTATTTTCATCCCTGTTTACTTTCTACCCTCTTGAAAAACTAATTAGGTAGGTAGATAGGTACGTAGGTACTTTTCAATATTTCTAATTTGAACTTTTTGGCCTAGGACATGTTTAGATTGACGAAAAACGATGTTGGTACCTAGGTACCTAGCGTAGACACATCCTTAAATAGGTAGATATCTAAGCTAAGTAATTAAAAATTGTCACCCAAACGGATATATTGGCATATTTAGAAATTAAAGTAATTCCCGATGCAACAAGATCTGTGAGGAACTATTTAATAGGTTGTATTGAGGATTTTGTTTTGCTTTTAGATACCTATAGATATTGCAAGTAATTTGTTTCAAACTTTTTAATTTTAATACTTTGAAAAAAAAAACATTTAGATTTCAATTATCTAACATCTAAAATGTAGGAATTTAATAAGTTTAACTAAAAAAAAAAACGCTAAAAGGGCAACGGCACGCGGTGTTCCCAAGCGGTCACCCATCCAAGTACTAACCGCGCCCAACACTGCTTAACTGCGGTGATCGGACGAGAACCGGTGTGTTCAGTGTGGTATGGTCGTTGCCTATTAAATAAGTGAGTCTAGGTCCTGATAACGTCCTAAAATACCTAGTTAGTAAATTATTTTCATCCCTGTTTACTTTCTACTCTCTTGAAAAACTAATTAGGTAGGTACTTTTCAGTATTTCTAATTTGAACTTTTTGGCCTAGGACATGTTTAGATTGACGAAAAACGATGTTGGTACCTAGGTACCTAGCGTAGACACATCCTTAAATAGTTAGATATCTAAGCTAAAGTAATTAAAAATTGTCACCCAAACGGATATATTGGCATATTTAGAAATTAAAGTAATTCCCGATGCAACAAGATCTGTGAGGAACTATTTAATAGGTTGTATTGAGGATTTTGTTTTGCTTTTAGATACCTATAGATGTTGCAAGTAATTTGTTTCAAACTTTTTAATTTTAATACTTTGAAAAAAAAAAACAGGTAGATTTCAATTATCCAACATCTAAAATGTAGGAATTTAATAAGTTTAACTAAAAAAAATCGCAAAAAGGGCAACGGCACGCGGTGTTCCCAAGCGGTCACCCATCCAAGTACTAACCGCGCCCAACACTGCTTAACTGCGGTGATCGGACGAGAACCGGTGTGTTCAGTGTGGTATGGTCGTTGCCTATTAAATAAGTGAGTCTAGGTCCTGATAACGTCCTAAAATACCTATAGTTGCTAAATTATTTTCATCTCTGTATACTTTCTACCCTCTTGAAAAACTAATTAGGTAGGTAGATAGGTACGTAGGTACTTTTCAATATTTCTAATTTGAACTTTTTGGCCTAGGACATGTTTAGATTGACGAAAAACGATGTTGGTACCTAGGTACCTAGCGTAGACACATCCTTAAATAGGTAGATATCTAAGCTAAGTAATTAAAAATTGTCACCCAAACGGATATATTGGCATATTTAGAAATTAAAGTAATTCCCGATGCAACAAGATCTGTGAGGAACTATTTAATAGGTTGTATTGAGGATTTTGTTTTGCTTTTAGATACCTATAGATGTTGCAAGTAATTTGTTTCAAACTTTTTAATTTTAATACTTTGAAAAAAAAAACAGGTAGATTTCAATTATCTAACATCTAAAATGTAGGAATTTAATAAGTTTAACTAAAAAAAATCGCAAAAAGGGCAACGGCACGCGGTGTTCCCAAGCGGTCACCCATCCAAGTACTAACCGCGCCCAACACTGCTTAACTGCGGTGATCGGACGAGAACCATACATACATACATAATATCTTTATTGATTTGTTAGTTACATAATTAGTATATAGCAAAATACAGAGAAACATAGTAGGTATATTGTCTAGACTTCTATGTGAAATTACCCCCAATATCTAACCACTATGGCCTTGATAATTTGAGGGTCGCCGGATGGACTGGCACCATGAAGTTCTCTCATCTTTGCTATGTGTAGAAATGAAATGTCGACGATTCCCTCCCACCTTCAAAGGCTTTTGGATTCATTACTGTTTATAACTTTATTTCTTCTAGATAATTGTAATGATATTTTAAACTATTGAATGAAACTGAAACTTTTAGTAATCTATTCAAAGGAAAAATCTGGCAAAAACCTTTTCTAAACAATTGAAAACAACATCTAAATATATAATGTAAGTATAAGACATATTAGTGAAAACCTAAAAGGCGTCAAAAATATATCAATATTAGCATGTGCTATAGATGTGGTAGAAGGGCTTCATAGATTAAGCCATGTTTTCTAGCCATTGGCTGTTGAATGTGTGTGCTAATGATGTCGCGAGTAAGAATACTTCCTCTCAAGTGGGATTTGTAAAATTTCAACGACAACTTTAATACATAATCATTTAACAGAGGAACTTTAGCTTTTTCGTGAATTCTACGAACAGGAGTGTACCGATCGCTATCCGTGATAATTCTCAACACCCTATTTTGCAGCCGCTGTAGACGAACCATCTGTGTGTTAGAAGCCGAACAAAACGCAGGACATCCGTATGTTAGTACAGGTCTGAAAATTTGTTTAAAAATTAACAGTTTAGTAGGAAGATTGACCTTGCTACGCTTACAAATTAGGGGATATAATGTTTTAATTAGGCCATTTATTTTGGATGCTACCGTGTCTATGTGTAACTTCCAACAAACAGATCGATCGATAGTCAGCCCGAGATATTTAATATATCTTTTTGGTTTAATTTTATTACCGCATACGTTCAAGTCATTGAAAATTTTGTTATTGGTATGTTTCTTTGTGATATTTATTAATTCAGTTTTCTCGGGATTAATTACTAGCTTGTTGTCTAGGTAGTATGGTAACAATATGCGATCAATATGTAATTGTACCTGTCTACAGGCTACCTCAGAGGAGAACGAGTGGGCATATACGCAGGTATCATCCGCATATAGGGCTAAGTTTGTTTTTTCAAATTTAGGCACATCCGAAGTATATATGGAATAAAGTAGTGGCGAGAGGGCCGATCCTTGCGGAACTCCCGCTTGCACTGGATATTGTGATGATATTGTGTTTTGCACCTTAACTGATATTGTCCGGTTATCAAGGTAAGAGTTAATTAGTTTGACTAAATATAGCGGAAAGCCACCGTCCCACATCTTTACTAATAACCGTTCTATCCAAACGGTATCGAAGGCTTTACGCATGTCCAAAAAGGCAGCTGTTTAGCCCTAACTGTTGTATCGATGTGAACTTGGTTTGTGTCCGAAAGAGTTTTAAAATTATCCCTATAGTATTCTCCAAAGCATTCCGCCTTCTGGCGATTATTTACATGCTCTTTATCCTGATCTATGAGGGTTGGAATATTTTCATATCGTTTTTTGAGAGACCTGACAACATTCCATACCTCATTAGAGCCAGGTTTCAGATTTTCCAATTTTGTCTGCCAAACTGTTGACCTATAATCTATAATTCTTTCTCTTATTTGTCGAGCTAACTCTCTGAATCTGACCCTGTCTGCGTCATTCCTTGTTCTTTGCCACTGTTTTCTAAATTTTTGTTTTTGATGAATTAGAGAGATGATTTCATCTGGTATTTTGTCCTGTTGGATCTGTTTGATTTGCTTCGTAGTTTTTAAACGAGCATTTAACATGATATTAGTAAAATTTGAAACCATCTCATCTATTTCTCTCTCTTGAGAAACATATTTTGTTTTAAGTATAGCATTAATATGTTTCCTATACTCTTCCCAATTGGTATTTTTGTAATCCCACATCGGCTTAGCGGGGTTTTCTTTAAAAACCTCTCCAATTGTGAAGAGTACTGGATCATGGCCAGAACTCATTTCGCATACAGTGTAAGGCTCAGACAGATTGCTCACATTTTTATTGATGATAAAATCCATAGTCGAGGGCGTTTGGCCATTTGAAGGGAAATGAGTTGGAGTGTCAGTATACATTAAAGCTACTTGTGTCTCCTCAAGATATCTAGACATGTATCGACCATTTTTGTTATTAGATAAACATCCCCATTGTTCATGTCTGCTATTAAAATCGCCAGCAATTATTACCTTACTACCAAGAGCTAATAATTGATCTACCTCACTCCAGACAATATCTGTCTTAGGCTGGACGTACACGCCAACAAGCACCAACCCATTATCAAGTCTCACTGCAACATGCTCAATTGATGAAGTATGCCTCGTTTGTAGTCTGCAATAAGGAATGTTGTTTCTTATCACGAAAGCGACACCGCCTCCTTGTTTCATCAGATTCCCATCTGTTCTATCAGGACGGTCCTCACGTTCTATATTATAGCCCTTTACCCTAAACTTATGATTTGCCCTCAGTTGCGTCTCTGAAAGGAAAGCAATATCAATTTTGTGTTTATTTAAGAAATAAATTAATTCAGCAATTTTATTTTTCACGGAATTTGCGTTAAACAAAACACAATTAGCCCGCATTTTAAATATTGTACTTTTCAATTGAAGAAATAAAGTTATAAAAAGCAATAAATTTTGCTGAACTGTTAGGGGCACTAGACATTATTGCGTTTAGGTCCCTGACAGCCTGCAAAAGTACCTTTAAATTGACCATATTATTAAGCACCTTGAATTCAGACGCCAATTCAGTAAATGTACCGATGTCTTGCTCCATACCACTGACAAAATGCGGTGCTGCTCTGTTCGCTGTTGTTTTCGATGGAAGCGGGGGGAATTCTGTAGCCATTCGGATTGCAGGTTCAAATTGGACAGTCTTCTTGCTTCTATTTTGCCAGGCGTTTGTAACTGGAGGCGGAGCCGGCTTGAAAGTTGGCTTCTTAGACTCCAACAGCTCTAATGCTTTCGTGTACTCCGGACACTTGGAGTAGTTTGCAGGATGATCCATGTTGCAATTCGCACATTTTGCAGGGGTATCCGGAGTTTTCTCACACTCTCTTGTCCAGTGATTATTTGCACATTTGAGACATCGTGGGACTCTGTAACAGTTGGATGTAGCATGACCCCATCGTTGGCAGCGTCTGCACTGAATTAATTTTCTTTCGTTCCTTCTTCGCTCCCAATATACCCTTGTATTCATTAGGTGTTTAATATTGTTCACCAAGAAATTTAGATTAATTTTATTGGATGTAGTTACAAGGTACAAGGGCCTACCTGTTGTTGACATTTTATATATGTTGTTTGTAGTTATTTTGTGTTCTTCTTCTAACTGCTCCTTTATATCCTTCAGATCGACATCAAAATCTAACCCTCTTAGGACAAAAGCGTGCTGTTTTTCCTCCGCCACTGTGTAAGTGTGCCACTCTAATTCGTTAAGTGCTTTCAGTTTATTACTGAGCTTATTATAATCCGTTTTATCTTTTAAAAACAACAGGGTTGAATTTTTTGTGTATTTGAGGAAAAAGTCGTTTTCGACGACCGACTTTATTTCATCTCTAAAACCTTTTAAATCCCCTACAATACCATTTATTACTATCGGTGGTGGCTTGCCAATGACTGAGGAACTAGCGGTATTTTCTTTTGAAACTTCGTGATGATGGGGCTCTTCGACAACCTGGATATCATCCTCTATGAGTGGAACAAATCTATTGACAGTAGTGACAGGTGGATTTTTTGGTTTTATCATCTGAGATAGGCGTGATAATGGTAGCGTTTTCTTGGGAATTTTATAATCGTTTTCATTACCTTCATCTTCTGAAGACGTATCTCTTGCTGCCAGTGTTCGTTTAATATTTGGATGGTAGTCATCATGCACCTGCACTACTTCAATTAGTGGTTGAGAGTTGATTTGCTCATCTGACGAAATTTGTGTAAATTCAGTATCCATAAATTCTGTCGTAATTGAGAACTGTGATTGAGAGTGCATTTTCGGCTCAAATTCATTTGTGAGTGTACTACTTATTGGTGTATTTATTACTGATGTTGTACTTGGATCTGTAATTGATGCTGCAATTGCCGATGATGTTGATATTATAGTTGTTGTTGTTGTGGTTGTAGTAGTTTTTGATGCGCTTTTTATAGGTGAGCTTACCTTTTGCGGATGGGATTGTATTTGGGTTTGTTGTCGATAAGTTACTTTACTCTGAATGTTATTATTTCTATACTTGCTATCAATAGCTGCTTTACCAGGAGGAATCGCCGACATAATATCACTGTTTTGGGATGTGCTGTTACTTTTTAATTTTGAACGTCTCAAAGCATTTTGTTGCTGCAATAACTGTAAATTTTTCTCGGGAATTAGCACCCGTTTTTCCTTAAATTTCCTAATCTCTCTCTTGATGGAGAGATTTTTTGACTGTTCAAAATCTGTCACTGACAAAATGTCAGATTGGGTTTTCCAAAAATATTACTAAAACCGCGGTTTTGTGTACTTTTTAAAAGTTTTTTAGATTTTCACACTACTTATATAATAAATTCACTAAAAACTAATAATTGTCTATATGTTTTTCACTAAATAATACGGGATCACTCTTTCGCTGAAATAACGCGTTCACTTGACGAGAACCGGTGTGTTCAGTGGACGAGAACCGGTGTGTTCAGTGTGGTATGGTCGTTGCCTATTAAATAAGTGAGTCTAGGTCCTGATAACGTCCTAAAATACCTAGTTGCTAAATTATTTTCATCCCTGTTTACTTTCTACCCTCTTGAAAAACTAATTAGGTAGGTAGATAGGTACGTAGGTACTTTTCAATATTTCTAATTTGAACTTTTTGGCCTAGGACATGTTTAGATTGACGAATAACGATGTTGGTACCTAGGTACCTAGCGTAGACACATCCTTAAATAGGTAGATATCTAAGCTAAGTAATTAAAAATTGTCACCCAAACGGATATATTGGCATATTTAGAAATTAAAGTAATTCCCGATGCAACAAGATCTGTGAGGAACTATTTAATAGGTTGTATTGAGGATTTTGTTTTACTTTTAGATACCTATAGATGTTGCAAGTAATTTGTTTCAAACTTTTTAACTTTAATACTTTGAAAAAAAAACAGGTAGATTTCAATTATCCAACATCTAAAATGTAGGAATTTAATAAGTTTAACTAAAAAAAATCGCAAAAAGGGCAACGGCACGCGGTGTTCCCAAGCGGTCACCCATCCAAGTACTAACCGCGCCCAACACTGCTTAACTGCGGTGATCGGACGAGAACCGGTGTGTTCAGTGTGGTATGGTCGTTGCCTATTAAATAAGTGAGTCTAGGTCCTGATAACGTCCTAAAATACCTAGTTAGTAAATTATTTTCATCCCTGTTTACTTTCTACCCTCTTGAAAAACTAATTAGGTAGGTACTTTTCAGTATTTCTAATTTGAACTTTTTGGCCTAGGACATGTTTAAATTGACGAAAAACGATGTTGGTACCTAGGTACCTAGCGTAGACACATCCTTAAATAGGTAGATATCTAAGCTAAGTAATTAAAAATTGTCACCCAAACGGATATATTGGCATATTTAGAAATTAAAGTAATTCCCGATGCAACAAGATCTGTGAGGAACTATTTAATAGGTTGTATTGAGGATTTTGTTTTACTTTTAGATACCTATAGATGTTGCAAGTAATTTGTTTCAAACTTTTTAACTTTAATACTTTGAAAAAAAAACAGGTAGATTTCAATTATCCAACATCTAAAATGTAGGAATTTAATAAGTTTAACTAAAAAAAATCGCAAAAAGGGCAACGGCACGCGGTGTTCCCAAGCGGTCACCCATCCAAGTACTAACCGCGCCCAACACTGCTTAACTGCGGTGATCGGACGAGAACCGGTGTGTTCAGTGTGGTATGGTCGTTGCCTATTAAATAAGTGAGTCTAGGTCCTGATAACGTCCTAAAATACCTAGTTAGTAAATTATTTTCATCCCTGTTTACTTTCTACCCTCTTGAAAAACTAATTAGGTAGGTACTTTTCAATATTTCTAATTTGAACTTTTTGGCCTAGGACATGTTTAGATTGACGAAAAACGATGTTGGTACCTAGGTACCTAGCGTAGACACATCCTTAAATAGGTAGATATCTAAGCTAAGTAATTAAAAATTGTCACCCAAACGGATATATTGGCATATTTAGAAATTAAAGTAATTCCCGATGCAACAAGATCTGTGAGGAACTATTTAATAGGTTGTATTGAGGATTTTGTTTTGCTTTTAGATACCTATAGATATTGCAAGTAATTTGTTTCAAACTTTTTAATTTTAATACTTTGAAAAAAAAAACAGGTAGATTTCAATTATCCAACATCTAAAATGTAGGAATTTAATAAGTTTAACTAAAAAAAAAAACGCAAAAAGGGCAACGGCACGCGGTGTTCCCAAGCGGTCACCCATCCAAGTACTAACCGCGCCCAACACTGCTTAACTGCGGTGATCGGACGAGAACCGGTGTGTTCAGTGTGGTATGGTCGTTGCCTATTAAATAAGTGAGTCTAGGTCCTGATAACGTCCTAAAATACCTAGTTGCTAAATTATTTTCATCCCTGTTTACTTTCTACCCTCTTGAAAAACTAATTAGGTAGGTAGATAGGTACGTAGGTACTTTTCAATATTTCTAATTTGAACTTTTTGGCCTAGGACATGTTTAGATTGACGAAAAACGATGTTGGTACCTAGGTACCTAGCGTAGACACATCCTTAAATAGGTAGATATCTAAGCTAAGTAATTAAAAATTGTCACCCAAACGGATATATTGGCATATTTAGAAATTAAAGTAATTCCCGATGCAACAAGATCTGTGAGGAACTATTTAATAGGTTGTATTGAGGATTTTGTTTTGCTTTTAGATACCTATAGATGTTGCAAGTAATTTGTTTCAAACTTTTTAATTTTAATACTTTGAAAAAAAAACAGGTAGATTTCAATTATCTAACATCTAAAATGTAGGAATTTAATAAGTTTAACTAAAAAAAATCGCAAAAAGGGCAACGGCACGCGGTGTTCCCAAGCGGTCACCCATCCAAGTACTAACCGCGCCCAACACTGCTTAACTGCGGTGATCGGACGAGAACCGGTGTGTTCAGTGTGGTATGGTCGTTGCCTATTAAATAAGTGAGTCTAGGTCCTGATAACGTCCTAAAATACCTAGTTAGTAAATTATTTTCATCCCTGTTTACTTTCTACCCTCTTGAAAAACTAATTAGGTAGGTACTTTTCAATATTTCTAATTTGAACTTTTTGGCCTAGGACATGTTTAGATTGACGAAAAACGATGTTGGTACCTAGGTACCTAGCGTAGACACATCCTTAAATAGGTAGATATCTAAGCTAAGTAATTAAAAATTGTCACCCAAACGGATATATTGGCATATTTAGAAATTAAAGTAATTCCCGATGCAACAAGATCTGTGAGGAACTATTTAATAGGTTGTATTGAGGATTTTGTTTTGCTTTTAGATACCTATAGATATTGCAAGTAATTTGTTTCAAACTTTTTAATTTTAATACTTTGAAAAAAAAAACAGGTAGATTTCAATTATCTAACATCTAAAATGTAGGAATTTAATAAGTTTAACTAAAAAAAAAAACGCAAAAAGGGCAACGGCACGCGGTGTTCCCAAGCGGTCACCCATCCAAGTACTAACCGCGCCCAACACTGCTTAACTGCGGTGATCGGACGAGAACCGGTGTGTTCAGTGTGGTATGGTCGTTGCCTATTAAATAAGTGAGTCTAGGTCCTGATAACGTCCTAAAATACCTAGTTGCTAAATTATTTTCATCCCTGTTTACTTTCTACCCTCTTGAAAAACTAATTAGGTAGGTAGATAGGTACGTAGGTACTTTTCAATATTTCTAATTTGAACTTTTTGGCCTAGGACATGTTTAGATTGACGAAAAACGATGTTGGTACCTAGGTACCTAGCGTAGACACATCCTTAAATAGGTAGATATCTAAGCTAAGTAATTAAAAATTGTCACCCAAACGGATATATTGGCATATTTAGAAATTAAAGTAATTCCCGATGCAACAAGATCTGTGAGGAACTATTTAATAGGTTGTATTGAGGATTTTGTTTTGCTTTTAGATACCTATAGATGTTGCAAGTAATTTGTTTCAAACTTTTTAATTTTAATACTTTGAAAAAAAAACAGGTAGATTTCAATTATCTAACATCTAAAATGTAGGAATTTAATAAGTTTAACTAAAAAAAATCGCAAAAAGGGCAACGGCACGCGGTGTTCCCAAGCGGTCACCCATCCAAGTACTAACCGCGCCCAACACTGCTTAACTGCGGTGATCGGACGAGAACCGGTGTGTTCAGTGTGGTATGGTCGTTGCCTATTAAATAAGTGAGTCTAGGTCCTGATAACGTCCTAAAATACCTAGTTAGTAAATTATTTTCATCCCTGTTTACTTTCTACCCTCTTGAAAAACTAATTAGGTAGGTACTTTTCAATATTTCTAATTTGAACTTTTTGGCCTAGGACATGTTTAGATTGACGAAAAACGATGTTGGTACCTAGGTACCTAGCGTAGACACATCCTTAAATAGGTAGATATCTAAGCTAAGTAATTAAAAATTGTCACCCAAACGGATATATTGGCATATTTAGAAATTAAAGTAATTCCCGATGCAACAAGATCTGTGAGGAACTATTTAATAGGTTGTATTGAGGATTTTGTTTTGCTTTTAGATACCTATAGATATTGCAAGTAATTTGTTTCAAACTTTTTAATTTTAATACTTTGAAAAAAAAAACAGGTAGATTTCAATTATCTAACATCTAAAATGTAGGAATTTAATAAGTTTAACTAAAAAAAAAAACGCAAAAAGGGCAACGGCACGCGGTGTTCCCAAGCGGTCACCCATCCAAGTACTAACCGCGCCCAACACTGCTTAACTGCGGTGATCGGACGAGAACCGGTGTGTTCAGTGTGGTATGGTCGTTGCCTATTAAATAAGTGAGTCTAGGTCCTGATAACGTCCTAAAATACCTAGTTGCTAAATTATTTTCATCCCTGTTTACTTTCTACCCTCTTGAAAAACTAATTAGGTAGGTAGATAGGTACGTAGGTACTTTTCAATATTTCTAATTTGAACTTTTTGGCCTAGGACATGTTTAGATTGACGAAAAACGATGTTGGTACCTAGGTACCTAGCGTAGACACATCCTTAAATAGGTAGATATCTAAGCTAAGTAATTAAAAATTGTCACCCAAACGGATATATTGGCATATTTAGAAATTAAAGTAATTCCCGATGCAACAAGATCTGTGAGGAACTATTTAATAGGTTGTATTGAGGATTTTGTTTTGCTTTTAGATACCTATAGATATTGCAAGTAATTTGTTTCAAACTTTTTAATTTTAATA